CATAGGAAATCCTATCAACTTTTCTTCACGAGATTTTTGAATTTATTAGTTAAAAATATTTTACGTAACACCTATTTTTTTCTTGCATACCACCAATGGTACGTACCCCCGGTTGAGAGCCCCTACCTTAGATGATTTCTTTCAGATAATGCAGAAAACGGCTGATAGATCTTTTGGTAAATCTTCGGACTATGGTAACTTGGCGACCAACTCTGCTACAGCAACCTGCTAGTTTTATTTATTTATTTATTTATTTTACTCAACAATTTTCCAACAATCTGCTAGCCGAATTACGTTTATGCTAGAACTTTTATGGAACAAAAGTGCTTAATCATGACGAAGGTTAGGTGCGAAATTGGGAGAAAGTGCAGAATCGCCCACTGCTTCGCGCGTTTTTAAGAACTGCACATACGCGGTATCCATGTACACGTCGACCTATTTTCACTTAAAGAAACATCCCAGAATTGCACAAAAATGGCATTGCGCACACTCTTGACTTTATCCATGTACTCATCGACCTATTTTCACTTAAAAAGTCAAAGAAGATTGACAAAAATCCAATTCTTCTTACTCTTGTAAAAAGCGCCAAACAAATAAGTGGGTGATTCTGCAATTTAGCAGCGAAATTGTTTCTAAGTGCTTATTAGCTAAAATCACTATCGGAATTTTCCGGAAAATGTCACATGACATGTCTCATGATCTCTCATTTCTCTGAGACAAAATAATCTGTGATTCGAACTGTGTAATTCTCAGATTATTGCTAAAATCCTACCTAATAACCTTTATCGCCTTACCAAAATGTCGCTAAACTACCTGTTACCATATTCCAAAGATTAGCCGATCTTTTATTTGCTCCAACTGTGAAAACCAAGCTCTATTATTAAATGCATATTGCTTCAGGTTTACGTTTAGCCTTCCTTCGAAAAATTAGTTATAAATATTTGAAATTTACAAAATATTACGGATATCTGAACTAAAAAGAATTTTTACGTTCTGCAGTTAGATATGCATTCTATTATAAACGTATAAACGTATGTATTCTATTATAAATGTATTCTATTATAAATGTATGTAAGATGAAAAAAAGTGTTAATTTTGACTGTAGATTGTAATACAAAGCACTTCATGAAGACTCCGACTGAAGTATTTGCAGCTATTGAAATATCATTTAAAAAATTATTTGATTTTAGTGGGAATAATATGTGGGAAGAATTATTCTCTCAATCCTACCAGAAATCGTCCAGAGGCAATATTAAATCCCATTAAAAAAACTTTCGATTCTTAAAAAAAATCTGATCTGGACAGCACATGACATATACGGCCTATTAAGTTGTAAATAATCCAGTTGTCGTAATTTTCAAGTTGTCGTAAATGATCCAGCAGAAGTTTTTGTCTTCTTTAACTTGTTCAAAAACTACTTTACAAACATTTTTACGTAGATTGGCAAAAATATTATCAAAATTCTTCTTGAAATTTTTGGTATTATTAGCTGTAAATCTAAATTTTGCAGAAATTTTATGAAATTTCGGTAAGGTACAAAGCTTGGCAAATCTGTTATTTGTAGTGAAGTTCTTACTTTACTTTTACAGATACTATATATAGAGAATCAGAGATTTTTATTTAAAACAGAATTATCACAAGTAAATTTCGTGCAATATGCGGCTGAAAATAAATGAGTATAGACAATAAGTAAGAAATTTATAACCCGTTTCCTTAAGATCCAAAAGAAGTGAAATTCAATACCTTTAAATTTCAAAATTCCATATAAATATGTAAAATTAACCATAAGTCCGAAGAATTAAGAGACTATGAAATATCAAACCTCAAAAAACTACCTAGGAATAGGAATGCAATGAAATCTGATATAACGTTATCAAGAGAAGTTACATCAAACTCCGTTGAACACCCTTCCCTTTGAAATCCACTGCGTTTCTGTTATCCAGAATTAGCTGATAATATACTCTAAATCATTTAGTTATTATAGTTTAACCAAAAATGTTTTCAAAGTAAAATTTTTTCAAAGTATAAATTTTTTATCTGAAGCTCGAATAGAGAAGGATAAAAAAGGGTATTTTAGGAAGTTTTACTGTATTTCGTTACATTTCTGTTACTATAAAATTTTATTAATTACAATTTTCTCTACTTTTATTAACAGAGGGTCTACTTTAATTCTAATTCGTTATGCTAAGCCCATGGTATGAGATTATACTTTTGTAACCTCTGTTAATTTCCTTCTTTTCTTACTTTCCTTTAACACATTCCTTTGATAAAAGAATTTTAAAAAATATTACAAGCATTTAATTCACCGTTTAAGAGATTGTGAACATGCCACCGTTAATTAGTTTTACCAGTGAAGCCAAACTGTCACCCTCAAGCGTACTTTTTGAATTTAATGTTTATGGTCTTTGTTTCGAAATAAGTAGTTTTATTACAATCTTCTGTGTTATTTTCAAGTATATTTTGTATTTCTACAATTTAATTTCAATTTTAATTTTAATCTTGCATTATGTGAAAAAAAGTATACTTATTTATTTTATTTTACTTATGAAATTTCATAAGAGAATTTGAATTAATGAGATTTTTTCATATGGATATAATTAGTATATTTCTCTAATGGATTGCCTCTTCGCCCATTAAGTACGTTTTAAATACTTATTCTCAGTTACTTTACTGGTATATTTTGTATTACTACATTAATTTCAACTTCAAATTCAATATTTTTTTTCTTTAGTTGGCATTAGAATTTTACTAGGGGATGTATCTTTAGATTTTTCTCTTAAGAAGTGACACGGCGTCGGAGAGAAGTTCAAAATTTTCGGATGAACACTTATATTTAAATAATTTAGAATAGTTCATCAGCTAACTTTTATAATAGAAAAAGAATGGTTTTCAAAGGGAACGGCTTTCAACGGAGTTTTATGTATCCTGTGGGGGGGGGGGAAAAGCAAAACAGTTCTATATATCCCGTTTTACTGGACCGATTGACGAAATTTAAACGGCGTTTTTCATGTCTCGAAAGTGCGACATAGGATATGTATTAGAATTATATACAGCTTTGCTCTAATATAGCTTATTTTTCCCCATTTTTGTTTTCAATATTTCGATTCTACGAGGCAAATTATGCCAAACTGCCAAGCTTTGTAAAAGTCGCACGACTAGTTTCTAAAACGTTAACTCTCACAATTTTAATTCCTTAATGTTACTTGAATTTGGTAGATATTTATTAATATCTTTTTTTTATTAAATTTACTTGATTCCTTCTTTTAAAATTCGAAATTTAGGGTTACTGCAAATAAAATTAACCTATTTTATATGATTTATTTTAAAATTTGTATTTTTAAATAATTTGGTTAATCTTTGGATTATGGTAACTTGGCGAATTTTTGGCGAAATTTGGCAACCAACTCTGCTACAGCAACCCTCTATTTTTTTTTTTTTCCGCCGCCATTTTGTCTTCACGAAGTAAAGACATGTTTCTTTTCTTTTTATTTACTGAACACCTTTTCCAACAATCTGCTATCCGAATTACACTTATGCTAGAAATTTTATGGAACAAAACTGCTTAATCATGACAATTATTAACTGCCAAATTGGGAAAAGTGCAGAATCGCAAACTCCTTGCCGCGTTTTTCAGAATCGCATTTACACATAAACCATGTACACATCGACTTATTTTTATTTAAAAAAACATCCAAGAATTGCACAAAAATGGCATTGCGCACACTCTTCACTATATCCATGTACACTGCTTTTTTCTCATAAATTAGAAAAATTTCACGAAAATGCATGAAAATTTGTGAATCTTTAAATCCGGTAAAAATAACATATATGAAATTACCTGATCGCGAAAAAATATATACCCTTTCTGAACATTTCCACGTATAAAATAAATAAACCAAAATTTTGCACATACTGTATGCTACCGACCAAGAACTTATAGCTGAAAGCCAACGACTTATAGCTGAAAGGAGAGAGGAGAAAATCTGGCAACGAAAAGAAGAAATGTGCTTGATGCGAGAAGAACGGCATGCTCGTGAGAAAAAATTTGAAATTAGTTTGGCTGTATTCCGAGAGTAGAGTTAGTCCTTTTTTTTTTTTTTTTTTTTTTTTTTTTTTGTTTAAGAGCTGAGAGATGCAATGTATTACTTGTGCGTTTGATGTAAATGTGAATAAAAGCAATACTTTGTGAAAAGTTAAACTGTATTTACAAAATTAAAATATAGCTCATGTTATTGTTAAACCTGCATAAGTGTCCCAGTTTATTTCCTGCAAATAGAGTTGACTAATAACATTCATAAGTGGATGGAAACGAACCGACAAAGATGAATTGATCAAAGGATCGATATATGACAGTGGTGGCAGCTGGTCGGATGTATATTTGTCGACTCGGAAAAAGCTCAAGTGAATTCCTTACGAATGCTGCGAAGCTTATTAAGTGGAATAGTTATCTTCTACCAGGTTCTCTCGTTAAGTGATTTATTTATGTTTTTGTGTTTATGAAAAATTTGCTGTTAATGTAAAGGTACACTTGAACAAGTATTTTATAAGACAAAAATTATCAGTGTGATTATCATATAAGACTTGAATTACCTTGCAAGTGCATTTATCTTTTATTATATGAGTGAATGATCATTAATTTAAGTAATGCTTGTGTTTTATTTATGAGATATGATTGCATTAATTTTCAAATGCTTATATATAAACATACATGTTTTTTTATTTATTGAGTATTTGGATGTTGTGCATATTTAATGCAGATACTATGTGTTTATGATTCAACAGAAGTTAAGGATTTAACTTGATGTATAATTTTATGTAAGGAGAATTTAGTTTTAATTTTCTGTTATTTTAATTAAGTTGAACATAAAGTCGCATAATGTCATTTTTGGCCAAATCTAGAAAGGCTGATCTAGTCGCCCTTGCACAAGAGTTTGGTGTTGAAGTGTTGCCTACATTTAGGATTTTGGACTTGAGGGAAAAGATTCTTGCTAGTGAAAGCTATGAGGAGCAAGGTAGCAAAGGATCTTCTGAGTGTTATCATTACAGATAGGGAGGCAAAGGAGGAGAGGATTGCCATTGAGAAGTATAAGGTAGATTGCCAGGATCGTTACTCGAATAGGAGTACTACACCCGAACGGGGGGAGAATGGGAAGGAAAGATCAGTAGAAGAGTTAACGAGGACAATCAGATTATTGACAGTAAAGGTTCCAAGTAAAGCAGATGGCTGGGACTATTTCTTCTCCAGTTTAGAAAGAGCTTATGTCAATGAAAGTGTCCCTGATGAGTATAAGGCCAAAATTTTGATTTACCTTTTGGGAGATAAAGCGGCAAATTTATTAACATTGATAAGCGAGGATAAGTATGGGAATTATGAGGAAATAAAGGAAACTGTGTTGAAAGAATTTAAACCTTCACCTCAGGTATGCCTGGAGAATTTCAGAAAGGCAAGACGAAGTTCAGAAGAGACCTTTGGCCAGTTTTCTACTAGAGTTACTGCCATGTGGGAAAATTATGTGAAATCAAGGGGGGTGACAGACTTTGAAGGTCTTAATCAGTTGGTGGTAGCGGACAAAATCTACCAGACCCTTGATACGGAAACTGCAGTACACATAGGTATAAGGCAGGGAGACTCGTGGTTCAAGCCAAGAGAGCTTGGAAAGGAGTGTGACATATTCTTTGCGGCTAAAGGGAAGTCCTACAACGTACGTAGGGAAGCTTGTGAAACTAAGATTTTAAATCAGGCAGTAGGTGAGAAACCTAAGGTCGAAGAAAGACAAGGCAGTCGGCATACGTCAGAAACCATAGGGAAAAACCACAGGGAGCGTTAGAGGTTTAACATGCTTTGTATGTGGTTCAGCTTCAGCTTCACATTTTAAAAGGCACTGTCCTCAGATTAAAGGTTCTAGGCAGTATAACAGAAATGAGGAAAAGGATAAAGCCAGGGTAAACTGGGTAAAGAAAGATCAGGATAATGATATCCTAGAGGACAAAGTTGTGGTAGCTCGTGTGGATCCTTTGAGGAAGTCAGGGGATGTAAACGACTATAAGCTGTGTGAGTTGAAAAGGGTTCCTATTAGTGTAAATGGAACAATAGGAAAGGCCCTCGTTGATTCAGGAACAGAAATTACGGTGGTTAAGAAAGAGTTAACCAAAAGTCTCCAACTGAAGGAAGGATCGAGTATATATTTGAAAGGTATATTTGGTCCAGCTGTTAAATGCCCTTTGGTAAGCATTCCACTGAGTATTACTGTAGGAGAAAGTGCCAATGTTACACATCAAGAGATTTTGTGTGCAGTTGCAGAATCGCTGGCAGAGGATGTGTTGCTTCCTCCGGAAGTATTCACCATGTTAGGAGGTCGGTTATATGACACAGGTGAAGGGGTGGAAAACTTACCTGAAGAAACCACAAACATCCCAGAGGTTAGGAGAAAGGAAAAGTCTGTGAAGGTAAACACAGGGAAACTAGAAGGAAACGCTAGTATGGGAAGGAATCTCAATGAGAAAGGGAAGGTGGAATCAAGTGAAAGCCAAGAACCTCAGCCAGGAAGACTATGTACAGCGGATGTATTTAGAAGAGAGCAGGAGACTTGTGAATCTCTGGTAGGAGCATGGGAGAATGCTCAGAAAGGAAAGGGGAATTATTATACAGTGGATAACTTTCTCTTTCATAAGGACAAAATTCTTGGGGAAAGTGTGGGGCAATTAGTTGTACCTAAGAGTCGAAGGGAGGAAGTCTTGCAGTTAGCACATTGCTCGGTGTTTAGTGGCCACATGGGGGTAAAGAAAACTGTGGAGAGAATTAGATACTCTTTTTATTGGGAAGGTCTGAGGTTAGACGTTCAGAAATTTTGCGAGGCATGTAAAGAGTGCCAGTTGACTAGACCAATTAAAACTGTTGATAGGACACCAATCACCCCAGTAACGAGGCCAGATCTGCCCTTCCAAATTGTAAACATTGATGTGATAGGTCCGATTGATCCTCCCAGTTCTAAGGGTCATAAGTATATATTATGCTTAGTTGATCAGCATACCAGATGGGCAGAAGCAATACCTCTAACTAGCCTCTCCGCCAAGTCGACTTGTGAGGAGTTATTACATATTTTTTCAAGAACGGGTATTCCAAATGTAATTGCATGTGATAATGGGAACAAATTTTAAAGCAGATTTGACTCAAGAATTTGAGAGACGAATAGGGGCCAGTCCTAAGTTTTCGACCCCTGGATATCCTCAAGCTAATGGATTAGTTGAACGGTTTAATGGTACTTTAAAAAGAATGTTCCATCATGTCATCAGAGAAGAAGGTAGGAGATTTGTGAATCTCTGGTAGGAGCATGGGAGAATGCTCAGAAAGGAAAGGGGAATTATTTTACAGTGGATAACTTTCTCTTTCATAAGGACAAAATTCTTGGAGAAAGTATGGGGCAATTAGTTGTACCTAAGAGTCGAAGGGAGGAAGTCTTGCAGTTAGCACATGGGGGTAAAGAAAACTGTGGAGAGAATTAGATACTCTTTTTATTGGGAAGGTCTGAGGTTAGACGTTCAGAAATTTTGCGAGGCATGTAAAGAGTGCCAGTTGACTAGACCAATTAAAACTGTTGATAGGACACCAATCACCCCAGTAACGAGGCCAGATCTGCCCTTCCAAATTGTAAACATTGATGTGATAGGTCCGATTGATCCTCCCAGTTCTAAGGGTCATAAGTATATATTATGCTTAGTTGATCAGCATACCAGATGGGCAGAAGAAGCAATACCTCTAACTAGCCTCTCCGCCAAGTCGACTTGTGAGGAGTTATTACATATTTTTTCAAGAACGGGTATTCCAAATGTAATTGCATGTGACAATGGAACAAATTTTAAAGCAGATTTGACTCAAGAATTTGAGAGACGAATAGGGGCCAGTCCTAAGTTTTCGACCCCTGGATATCCTCAAGCTAATGGATTAGTTGAACGGTTTAATGGTACTTTAAAAAGAATGTTGCATCATGTCATCAGAGAAGAAGGTAGAGGGTGGCATTTGCAAATTCCTTATGTATTGTGGGCCTATAGAGAAGTACCCAACTCAACAACTGGGGTGGCTCCATTTCAACTCATGTACGGCAGGACACCTCAGGGACCTCTGTCGATATTAAAATCATCATGGACAGGGAAACATGAAAATTTACAATTAGATGCAACTCCTGTTTATACATATTTACAAAATCTAAAGGCTAGGTTTGAGAAGGCAGCGGAGCAGGCAAAGCTCACAGCTAAAATTCAACAAGAGAGGACAGCACACTATCATAATTTAAGGTCTACCATAAAAACATTTAAGGTGGGAGATAAGGTGATAGTCTTGATTCCCGATTCTAATAACAAGCTTTATGCTAGGTGGCAGGGTCCTGCAAATATATTGGAACAGAGAAGTTCTCACTCATTTGTAGTACAAATGCCCGATGGGACCAAAAGACATGTTCATCAGAATAAGATTAGACCTTATGTAGTTAGATCCCAAGCAGTAAATGTTATCTTGGAGGGGGAAGAAGAGTTTGGGGAAATTGAATCTATACCTGTCAACAAGGGAGAAAAGAGTTTTTCTGAATCTCTGGAAGGATTAGAAATGTCTAATTTAGATTCAGTCCAAAGGAGTAAACTTTTAGGGCTACTGAGGAAATATCAAACATTATTTACACGTCCAGTGCAACCAGCACGAGTAGGTACACACAAAATCGAACTTATTCCTACTGCTATTAGGAAGAAACCCCACTGCTATGGAATACCCATGGCATACCGCAAAGCAGTAGATGAGCAGATACGTGAGTTGCTAGAATTAGGATTAATTGAACCTTCTGAGTCAGAAATTGCTCATCCTATAGTTTGTGTGGCAAAAAAAGATGCTACAGTTAGAATGTGTATAGATTTTAGATCATTGAATGCTGTAAACGAAAACTCCAACATTTCCCATGAAAGACATGCAGGAATTGATTTTTGTGGCGGGTGCAGCAAACTGGCTGACAAGCATCGACCTTCGAAAAGGGTATTGGCAAATCCGAATGGATGAAAAGAGCAAACCTTTGACTGCATTTGCAACATGTAATGGAGTGTACCAGTGGAGAACAATGCCTTTCGGCTTATCAGGAGCCTCAGGGACATTCCAGAAGGAAATGAATTGTGCTTTGCAGAGTCATAGTGATTATGCTCAGGCATATATAGATGATGTGGTGATTTTCTCGAAAACATTTGAGGAACACTTGAAACACATTTCTCTGGTTCTGGAAACTTTAGAAAAATTAGGATTTTCTGTACGTTTGGACAAATGTACTTTTGCAGCTAAAAAAATCAAATATTTGGGGCATATAATTGGAGGAGGCAAGCATGGTCCTGATGAAGAAAGGGTCAAAGCAATTAGAAAACTCGTCAGGCCAGTCACAAAAAAAAAGATGTGAGATCGGTTTTAGGATTAATGGGATTTTATCGATCTTATATTCCCAGTTACGCAGAAATATCGGCACCATTGACAGAGTTGACGAAGAAGAGGCAAGCCAATATTGTTCTATGGGGGGAGTTGGAACAGAATGCTTTTAACAAATTAAAGGATACTTTGTGCCAAGTGACATCTCTGGCCACACCAAATATAGGAAAGCCATTTCAGATCCATTGTGATGCATCCAATTTGGCGGTAGGTTGTTGTTTAACCCAGATAGACGAGAGTGGTAACTATTGTCCTATTGCATTTGCAAGTCAAAAGCTTTCTCAAACTCAGAGAAATTGGGCAAGCATTGAGAAGGAAGCTTGGGCAGTCTTATTTGGCCTGAATAAATTTGATAAATGGATGGATCTATGGGGCTCAAGTAGAAATTATAACGGATCACAACCCTCTCAGATATTTGAATGAAACTACTCCTCGAAGTCCCAAATTGACGAGGTGGGCTCTGGCATTGCAGAAATGGAACTTACGGATTAGTCATAGGCCAGGGATCCAGCACCAAAGTGCAGATGCACTCTCACGTCTGGATCAAATATGATATGATTAATATAATTTGATTGTTTTTTTTTCTTTTTCTTTGTTTATTTGTATGATTGTAATAATTTATTGCTTGTTCTGTTTTGTTTTATTTAATACTGTACGAGGTTGGTATTGTGTAAAAGTAATGTACAGAAAATTTGCTTGGATATTGATTAATGAAATACGTCCCAAAGAAAGGACAAATTTCATTCTTGGCAGGGGCGTGTCATGCACATACTCTATGCTACCGACCAAACCTGCCGGAAGAACAGACTTATAGCTGAAAGCCAACGACTTATAGCTGAAAGGAGAGAGGAGAAAAATCTGGCAACGAAAAGAAGAAACATGCTTGATGCGAGAAGGACGGCATGCTCGTGTGAAAAAAACAGTTTATCTGAAAGGAGAGGGGAAAATCTGGCAAAGAGAAGAAGAAACGTGCTTGATGCGAGAAGAACGGCATGCTCGTGAGAAAAAATTTGAAATTAGTTTTGCTGTATTCCGAGAGTAGAGTGGGTCCTTCTTTTTTTTTTTTTTTTTTTTTTTTTTTTTTTTTTTTTTTGTTAAGAGCTGAGAGATGCAATGTATTACTTGTGCGTTTGATGTAAATGTGAATAAAAGCAATACTTTGTGAAAAGTTAAACTGTATTTACAAAATTAAAATGTAGCTCATGTTATTATTAAACCTGCATAAGTGTCCCAGTTTATTTCCTGCAAATAGATTTGACTAATAACATTCATAAGTGGATGGAAAACGAACCGACAAAGATGAATTGGTCAAAGAATCGATTATATTTACTTTTACCTCTAAATTATCTATTATATTATAAACGTCACCAACGAATTTATACCGCAAACATTAAAAATGGTTACAAATACTTAGTGTCAAATATTTAAATTATTTCCATGCACGTTTACTTCAACTGAAACGTATACCAAATTGCTACATAAAATTCACAAAATAACTATCATTTAATTAAAATATAACTAAACCATGTACACGTCGACTTATTTTTACTTAAAAAAAAATCCCAGAATTGCACAAAAATGTCATTGCGCACACCCTTCACTATATCCATGTACACTGCATTTTTCTCATAAATTAGAAAAATATCACGAAATGCATGGAAATTTTGTGAATCTTTAAATCCGGTAAAAAGAACATATATAAAATTACCTGATCGCGAAAAAGTATATACCCTTTCCAAGGATGAACATTTGCACGTATAAAATAAATAAAATATCCAAAAACTTTTACCTCTAAATTATCTATTATAAACGTCACCAACAAATTCATAACGCAAACATTAAAAATGGTTGCATATACTTAGTGTCAAATACTTAAATTATTGCCATGCACGTTTACTTCCACTGAAACGTATGCCAAATTCTTACAAACATATAATTCACAAAATAACTATCATTTAATTAAAATATAATTAAATTAAAATCACTACTTAAAATATAAATAAGCACATACATTAAATTAATAAAATTAGCTTACAATCCTAATTACTTTAAACTAAATCATTGCTAATTACAATTTTCCAATAGTACCATATTACTTTATTTACTCCTTACATTTAGAACAATGCATAAAAATAATATCCTCAAATAATTAAAAATACTAACTTACCTAATCTTCTTCAGAATCTTGATTACGTGGCGGATAAACTTTTCTTATAGATTAAATAATCCAGTAGTCAACTGGCATTCTATTCACCCACTAATAAGAAATTAATAAAATTTCCCCCATACTCAAACGACTTTCAGCAAACCACGTACCCTTCCTTACACTCCGTTTCACAAAATGTCCATTTTCACCAGATTTCTTGCACCGCCATTCAAACTTATCTGTAATATCCTTCCTTTCACACAATCTCATTTCATTCCCACATGTTGGACATTCATACTTATCCGCAATTAATCCTACACTCATACACCATTCAACCAATTCTTTTGAATTATCAGATAAACGCATTAAAAATTAAGAATTCACTTTAGACAGCGCCATGCAATCCAAAAATTAATCAACACTCTTTCACACAACACACAATGAAGCTTAATACAAAATAATATAGTACTACAGATATTTTTCTAAATTTTACCCCCTTTTCCGATTAAAGAACTGTAATTCGTCCATTAATGTCACATGACATATCTCATGATCTCTCATTTCCCTCACACAAAATAATGCGTAATCGGAACTGAGTACTTCTCACATTATTCCCAAAGTCCTAGGTAGTAACCTTTATCGCCTCCAAAATGTCACCAAACTACCTGTTACCATATTTCAAAGATTAGCCAATAATTTTTATACATTTTTCGAAACAAGTTTTGAATTA